AGGACGGACATTAGCCGAGCCGAGCGACAGAAAGATAGAGATGGTGGATAAAAAACAAAAGAGGAAAATGTCTGCGGAACAAAAGAAGGCTTAAGGCAATAAGGCAAGATGTAGGACCCGTGTAAATATCAGATCAGCTTTCCAGCGCTGGAGAGAACTCAAGGAGAGGAAGGCCTGCGATCGGATGCCGAGGTTGCCTTGTTTCTTCTCGATAGGTGAGTAACACTAGCTGTGTCTCATTTAGAAGGCTGCGCCCTCCGGAAGGGTAGGGGCGTGTTTGTTTTGGTGATTTCAAATGTCAACATTGACTACCAGAAATCGCTTACCCCACCTGTAAGAATACAATGTCGCTTGGTCATGCTATCATAATTCAGTGACATTATGGGATGGCTTAAGGGCACAAAATGAATTATTTTGCATAAACAAAAAGTTTAACAAGATGCTTTAAGATAAGTTATTGGAAGTTGGAATGTGAATAAAAAGGTTTGCTGGGTTACAAAGGAATGCTGAGGGAATTTACCATGTTGGCAGGAGCTCTGGCCTGGGGAAAGAAGCTGTGCAGGTGTCGATTTGTCCTAGTTTTCAGGGCATAGCCTAATTGTTCTCTGCTGTGAGGGGAGACAGTGAAAAGGAAAATGGCTATGGTAGGATGGGTTGACTATGATTAGTCCCACCTTCATTTTCGTCCTACTGTAGATGCTTATGCCTGTGAGTGAGGAGAGCTGGCAACCAATTATTTCCTCTTAGAGTGCGATGATGCAGAGCCAAACCAGACGAATACAGAGGTTAAGAGGACAGATTCAATCACAGCTGTGTAGAACTGGACCAGCAGCCCACATTTCCTATGCTGTCTCAGAAAATAGCAAATTTCCGATGTGTGCCTGTAAAAAGAAACCTTTTAAGACAACTTCAGTCTTATCAGAGGTTCAAGACAGCCTTAAATAAAATTGAAGGAAAAACAGCAAATACTTTTACACAAGAACATGATATTAATTCCACATTATTGTAGAATTTCAAGATAAAGTATACATGAAACTTCTATATAATAATACTTCTAATAATAATAATTAAAAAAAACCTTTCGGAGTACAACAGCTTGTCACTGACAGTATCCCTCAAAGAGATCTTTGTACTTTATTTAGCCCTTGCTCTCAGAAAAAAAGGTATAAAAGCTGTCATTGAGGCAGTATCTTTTCAAAGGGTACTAATAGGTACACTTTAGGTACTAATATATGCACTGTACCTTTAAGGTACTAATATGCTCCCTTTAGGTACAAAGGTGTACCTTTTGAAAAGGAACCACCCCAGTGACAGATTTTGTACCTTTTTTTCTGAGAGTGATAAAAGGTACATAAGTACACAAATCCAAATCAATACAAACAAACTCTAGAGCAGAAAGCGAAGGATTCACAGGACAGGCAAATTGTTTTCTTAGAGCAAGCTGACTAACTACAAGATGATAGCCTATTCTAGCAACATAAATACAACACCAACATACAGGGGTTTAAAAGCTTTGTTTATGTCGTTTTGGTCATATTCTGTGTGTGAAAGTGCCTAATAGGAGTGTTATTGAGATAAAGGGAGTAGTATTGTACTGGTAATGTGATCTTGACATGGTGGCCCCTCTGAGGCAACACCTCCACATAAAATAAAATGGCTTTTATTAGCCTAATGATATGACTGCAGTCTCATGTGATGTGAATACTTGATTTTAAACATACAATATTCCTCAACAGTAGTATTTATAAAGAATATCTCTTTGGATTTGAGACTTTAGTCTTTGCAACTTTACAGATCTTCTTTATGCACCAAGAGCTTGTAACACTCCAAAGAGAAAGGAAAAATTGAAATCACATCATATGACCCCTTTAACGATAAAACTTCTTTAAATAATAGAAAAAGACATTTTACCATTTACCAAAAAGAGTTCATCTTTACCATTTTCTGGAGTAACCAGCAAACACATTTCTTAAAGGGTAAATTCACCCAAAATGTTTAATTCTGTCATCATTTACTCACCCTCAAGTTGTTCCAAACCTGTATGACTTTCTCTCTTCTGTTGAACATAAAAGAAAATATGAACAGTTGCTAGTCCCCACTGACTTCCATTATTTGGGAAACCTACTATTGAAGTTGAAGGGGACAAGAAACATATTGCTTACCCACTTTCTTCAAAATATTTTCTTTTGTGTTCAGCAGAAGAAAGAAACTTATACAGGTTTGGGGCAATTTAAGGGTGAATAAATGATGACAGGGTTTACAATTTTGGGTGAACTATTCCTTTAAGAGGACACATGCCTCCCCCTAGTGTTCAAAAAGGAAGAATCTGTATCCTGCAAACTAAGTGAGTATTTGTAAATCTTTTCACCACTTCTAAAAAAAAAAAATCCCATTTTTCTGCTTGACATCATAACATTTCAGATCATGCAGAGAAATTGATATATTTGACATTAAAACTGGATGACACATTTCTCAAAAAAAGAATCTGCATCAGCAATGAATCGTAAAAAGCTGTATGATGTCCTGTGAATCATATTATGATCTGAGATCACAGAAGCTTCATTATGCAGAGGGTAACAGAAGAGCCTTCCTTTGAAGTACAGATTCACACTGACCTTCTCCCAGGCACAATTGTTGACTTAACGTATTTTGAAAGGGCTGAAACTGAGCATGAAGCCATTCTTTGTCCTCTTATGGATAGTATGGGGATACGCACTCTTGTTCTTCTTTGACTCTAAATGTCCTTGCACACTGAGTCCGAAACTTTCGTATGCGTTTTTCCGGTTTTTTCGTATTCGTCATCCTTTCCTATCAAAATGCGTGCTACGGATGCGAAAACGCAGAAAATCGAACCTGTTCCGAATTTTTTTTATGACAGACGAAAGTTTCGGAGGCAGTGTGTAAACGTGATTGACACAACGTGAGGTCGTATTTATTTTTCAACGTGCGAACATTTCGGACGAAAAATTCGGACTCAGTGTGCAGAGACCTTAAGTCTTATCTGGTTTTCTGTGGGCAATGTATGATCATTACATTGAAAAGCTTATTTATATCTGTACATGTAAATAACCATCTAACCCATGTTTAGCATCTTGGGCTAAAAAAAATTATTAAAGTTAGATTATGCAAATTCAAATCAATATTAATGTCAACAGGCAAATAAAACCACAGAGCAAAGCGATTAATCAGTCCCTTTGGAGCAACATGGGGTCAAAGGCACAGTGGCTCACAGCTTATACTGTACTTTGCAGGACTCATCATGGCCTTGAGCTTTAGCTAGAGACATCTAACAAAACAGACAAAGTCTGCAAATCAGTCAGTCAAAAAATACAGCAACTGAACAGCTGTGGCTTCTCAAGACACATGCATAACTACTTACAGTAAGTGTTTTATAAAACGAAATGCGTAACCCAGGTGTGTGCAGTCAGTGCACTAACACTGGTGAGGAGGAACCTCGTGTGGCGGGATGGAGGAACTGTAGGCTCAAAGCATACACCCCTGTTGTCCTGTATTCTTCTAATATATATAACCGACCTTTTCTGAAAAATCTTTGACATCCACCGTGACACATATGATAAATACTTCAATAGTCATGGACTGGGATAGCAAATATCAAAAATGTTTATTCATATTAAAGCAAATATAACATGTGGTTCATTAAAAAATGCAGTATGATTATCACGCTATAATACATATAATTGGTTCCACAGCAATAAATCCCGAAAACAATCACATTTGTCCACCTATATTTAAACAGACTTACTTACACTTCAACAAACTTCACCTATATTTTAAAGGAGACTGACCTGAATGAACCCAAGCGGTTGTGTTTCATCAGATGCAAGTCATGCACAACATTAATGTGCCCAATAGATTTTAAGATCTTAAGTGAAGAATATTACTGTGAAGAGAGGGTGAAGTGAATCCTAAAGGTCACAAATGACTAACATGCATGTGTACGTAAAGGTATGGCTTTACATTCTAAAGGATTATTTTTTAAATAGATTTTTTTTATTAATAACATCAATTATAAAAATAAAAAATAAACAATTATAGAAAACACTTGCCTCATTAATTCCCAATTTAAATAAACAAATTTCTTCAAACTGTTAAAGAACATTTAAAAATGATAACCTTAATAGGGGTATACAACAAACCAAGCAATAACTACTTGAGTGTTTAACTTCACTCCAGCTCATTCTATTCTCCAGGTAGATTCTATTAGGCTAATCCAAAAGAGTTCATCTAGAATCTATTCCGGTGGTCTTTAATAGTGTAAAACATTTTTACAAAACTTTGTTTAAAAAAAAAAGAAGAAGAACAAGGAGGGGAAGAAGAAGAATGTCTAAATTAGTTCTGCTCATACACTGTGCCAAAAAAAAAAAAAAAAAACTTAGTGCATAGTCATTAAGTATTTTTAGAATAGAAAATGTCTTTTTGTAAACTGTAAAGCTTTTTGTATAAAGAATTCATTTTTTCTTTCTTCTTGTTGTGCATTGGATCTGCAGTTCTTACTGTAACAATAACTGCACACACACTATCATTCAAAAGTTTGGGACTGGTATGATTTGAAAAAAGTCTCTTCCACTCACCAAATCTGCATTTATTTGATCAAAAGTATAGCACAGTAGAAACAGTCATACTGTGAAATATTATTACAATTTAAAAGAACAGTTTTCTTTTTGAATATTTCTAAAACATTTTTTTCCTGTGATGGCAAAGTCTTCAGTGTTGCATGATCCTTCAGAAATCATTCTAATATGCTGATTTGCTGCTCAGGAAACATTTATTATTATTATCAATGTTGAAAACAGCTGGGCTGCTTAATATTTTTGTGGAAACCGTGAAACATTTTTAAGGAGTTGATGAATAAAAAGTTTAAAACAGAATTTATTTGAAATAGAAATCTTTTGTGACTTTATAAATGTCTTTTTGTCATTTTTTATTTATTTAATGCATTCATACTTCATAAAAAAAATTTAACAGTTGAGTATCCTCACATACTAACCTCCTTAGCACCCTCAGTATTTTATTTGGAGTTCTCTTGAACCTCTTGCTATTTGTATAGCATTTTTTTTGCAATATTGAACGCAATGAATTGCTTGTACCTCAGTATTAAACAGAAAATAAACCCACAATTATTACAATTGGAATATGCAAATAAATGTGAAAACAGTGGTACACTATTCCTTTGGCAAGATGCAGGTAGCAGGCATAAAGTTTACAGTGTCTATGGCAACTCCATTAAATGTAGGGCTGGGTCTGATATTTTGTGCCACATGTCTTCTTCAGCATTCCCTAACTGTTGATACTGAACATGATGAGCATCACCCTGAATGTTCATGTGTGGATTTTGAAAGTTCCTCAGTGAATGCTCACTGACATGTTTGGCTCTCTCCACAGCTTTTTCGTGTAGTTTGTCCTCCAGAATGGCTGAAGTCTCCCGCTCCACATAAACATCATAGAGCGATTTATAATACGGCTTCCATCGGGTCATGAGAGATGAACTTATCGTCAACAAAAACGAAAGGCCAAGAATAAGAATTAGGCCAATTACCTAGAAGAAGAAAAAACTGATAAATGAAAATGAGAAGTAGCATGGGTCAATGCAGAACATGGTATAAAATGAGCAAAGAATAAATACAATACACCATCATTTCAGTGAAATCCTTCATAATATGATGCTTTTCATTAAATTTACAAAGGTAAGATTTATAAACCTAAAAAAGCTGGAAAACATGCTCACCGAATTGGTAAAGATGTCTATTAATGATAACTGCCATCTAAATATCACTCTAAAAATGAATGGTGGCAATTCTGCATCATGTTTCAGACCAGTGTAATTACTGTTAACTAAAACAAAACAAAAATAAAAGTAATCATTAGAATTACTAAAAATTAAAATTATTAAAACTAAAACTAATATTGTTTTGGTGTCTTAAATAAAATTAAAAAATCTTAAACAAATCTTAAAAAACGGATATTAGAAATATTGAAACTAAGAGTTACTAAAAGAAGGCTACATAGAAAAATTTAAACTAATCAATAAAAAATAACAAAGCACATGACAAAATTACTAAGTTAAACTAAAATTAAAATGAAAGCTGAAAATCTAAAAATAAAAAAATCTAAATATTGCTAAATAGGCCTATATATTATTATATAAATAATGCTAAATTCAATCTTGACATTTTTAGCATATTTTACATATCATACAAACATATTTTTGATGACAGCGATAGTTAATAGTGAATTACCACTGTTTTATTGTAACAACTACTTTAGTGTTTATGGTAGGCCTATTTTGGTAGTGATTATAGTAAAGAAAATCCACATAAGCAAGTGCAATTGTGTTTTCTAACTACCAAGGGATTTTTATTCATTAATTCATTATAATATTTTTGTTGCTTTTTTTCCTTCGCCCCTTTATAAAGGTGGGTACATTTCTTTCTCGTTGAGGGACAGCATTTTATTTACAGAATTTCATTTACGACAGATGCTTATGCAGAATAAAGCAAATAGAGGGGAAAATGTACGAATAGCAACCAAATGAACATCACAAACTGATAAAAGACGGTATAAAAATTTACCCGTGATTCACTATCATATTTTCTTAGAATCTCTGCTTCTCGTGGAGTTGGTAGATCCTTGCACGCAATTTGCTCCCCAGTACCGTTCACATTAACGGTCCGCACGCAAACGTACCAATCCCCGTCTATAAATGCAACGACTATCCACAGCGATGCCGCATAAAAGACATTGAGTAGGTGTTTCCAAATAACACCACAGTAATACCAGCCTTCCTGTCCACAACGCTCTGGGTGATAACAGTAACCACCAGCACAGCAGCAGCATTCAAAAGTATCGCAGCACTCACTCTTACAGCATCTGCTCTGGCCGCTCACGCAACATCTGCATACGTAACATCTGCACATCTTCAGGAGCCGAGCGTCCATGAGGATCATAATGAAGAACAGTATGCCTATTGGCAGGCACAGGTAGAGCCAGCAGTGCAGGAGAGTTTCCTCGGGAGTTGTGCAAGGGCATGTGAACACATATTTGAAGAAGATAAGCATGGCCATGACTATGACAGCTGTCCTGATGGGCACATTTCTGAGTACGTAAGTCGAAAAGACCGTGTGCCGAGCCATATCTGCACGTATGCTTAACGAAACCCATGCAACAAAACGATGCTGCTATAAAGCACCACGGATTGAGAAAAATCTCAGCTGTTCAGCGACCATTATGACACGACGTTCCTGATATCCGCTGCTTCGTCTTCTCAGTGGATGGGGCAGAGGAAAGGGAGGGATCATTGGGATTATCCCACAACACTAAGCCTCTGGTTGGAGGGATGCAGCGCCCCTCTATGCTTGTGTTTGCATCATACTGTAACGTTATGTATGACATGGGTTTAGGTCACGTGTTGGGCTTCGTAAGCCTTAAACAGAAAGAATCTGGTGTAGAAATGAAATTATCAAATATAAAATGTGTGTGTTTTTTTTAATTTTATTTAAGGAGATCGAATGTTAATTTTAAAAAGTTTGCAAAGGAAACTGTGTTTCGACCACTGGATGGAGCCCGTCTAATGTTTTTATCTCAAGGAGGTGTGTCTTTACTGTATATGAGTCAGGAACATAGACTGGTCAGGAAGCACTTTTACTGAACTTTACACTGCAAGATATTTACGTCTTCGTGTATTTTCTTAAAACCTAAACTTGTCACTCGACTCTGACTTTTTGTCCGCGGTAACATCTGCTTTGACATGACAACACTAGCAAGAGAGATACTGCAGGCTGGATTTGCATTATATCCGAGTATTTAATTAATTTATATCAGAAGAAAGATAATTTAATTTGTTTAATTTATATATCAATATGTGTATTATGCGGTCTGATTTGTTTAATGAATAGTCTAGATGTGTACTTGTAGGCCTATGTGTACTATGTGGTAATACGGAAATAGAATGACACGCTACTTTACAGCGTGTATCATATGATTGTTATTTACTGTAGGTTTCATTGCCGTTTTCTCTTTTCTCGGCATTTTTAGACACTGGTGGTGGCACCATGACAGTGTTTAAAAACTGTACTGTGGTGTTAGATGTGAAAAATGTGCCTTTTAAAGAAAAGAATAAACTGAGATTAGCTCTTCTGGAGAATGGAGGAAACATCTCATATGTCATCAACAAAGAGGTACGTATTGTGCTAATTTTTTGTAATAACTACCGTTCTGTCTCTTCTGTCTAAAGCAACGTATTGTTTAAATATAGGTAAGAAGTTGGGTTTCAAAGTTGCATAAAATACAGACTTCAGACCTCCGTTTATCTCCTCCAGTGCTCTTTTGTAGTCACTAGCAGTGTGAATGACCTGAGCAGTAACCGGCAGCGCAGCATCCAGAAGCTGCAGATCCCAGTGGTCGGGACGCAGTATGTGTGGAGCTGTTTGGACCAAGGGCATCTCCTGCCTTTGACGGAGCATAATTTGACCCCACAGCTGCCATATCCCACCTCTGAATTCCTCCCTCCTTCAGGTAGGAGTTCATGAAGACTGCTTGTTTTCTGTGGTTGTATTAGCACACTGTGATCTGGAAACCTGGTTTAGTTTTTTTATTCAAAGCACTTCCTCAGACTGTGGTTGCCAAACCAGCACTACCTTGTAAATTTATTTGATCACTGTCTTTCTTCGGTAGAACAGATTACAGTTGTTTGTCTAAAGTGATACTGTAAGGTTTACTTGCATAAGATGTGAAAGGAGGTCAAAGGGACAGAACAGATGGGAGTGTCACAGCCAGATTAGTTTTATTTGTTGACATTGGGTGTGTTTGGTTCTGTGTTTGCATATGTTTGGCCTTGTGTTGCAGTACATTTTTGTTGAGAATGTATTTGGCATTATATTTGGGTTATGAGAGTGTTAAGTGAGATTAAACCATGTATTTTTGTGGCATGGTTGACATTATGTTGTTTTTCACCATAAAGAGGTAAAAGTGTCAACACACATACTAGGAAAAGAGACGTTCAGAGGTCACCCTGAACTCCCAAAGACTGAAGCTGAGATTCTTGAGAAGGGTGGACCCTGTCCTGGCAGGTTCAGGTGCGCTCTTGTTTTTTGTCACTTGTCAGTTCTTGAGTTTGTTCAACAGTTTTTGGTTTTTAATCAGTTTCTGCAGCACTTGTGCTTTTTAGATTTGCTTGTTTACCTGACTACCCCTTTTCATTTACTCAATGCAGAGTTTACAAAGAAGGCGACCATGACCTGCCTGAATTTCCTTCATATTTTCAAGTGGCCAAGTATTCAGTTTTTGAGAGGGTGAGAGACTTCATTCATCATTCACATTAACTTTATTTTATTATTGGACTAAAAAAATGTATTAATTAAAAAAAAGTATGATGACTGTTTTAACACATTCTTCACCACAGCCTGAGCATGTCTGTGTTCTTGTGTTTCAGGTCAAACCCAAGACTTTGTCTGTTCTGGAGCTGCAGAGTGCCAAAGGCCGAGCAGGCCAGCAGTATCGTGTGTTGCGTTCAGTCTTGCGTGAAGCTGAGGTTTGGTCATCATGAATGTTGTTATCTCTGGAATCACAGATGGTGACGGAGATGCTGAATTTGTCTTGTGGTGATGGTGATGGACTCTCTCTCTCGCTATAGACCGCAGTGGTTCAGGACAAGCTTGTGTTCTGCGTGACGTCTGAAGATGCTGTGGAAGCATATCTGCAGCTGATGAAGCAGATGGAGACAGAGGAATTCACAAAGACACACACTCTTCCCCCTGAGGTTGAGCGCTTGGCATCCTATAGCCTCCAGCAGGTTAGATAAACACAATGCAGAACTGTTTTTATTTAGGCCTATTTGATACATGTGTCTAATAGGTGTGAATTAATTGCTCACTCTTTTGATTGGCAGCTGCTATTGGAGGAGAAACTGAACTGCAGCACATTGTCACAGGAAGTTGGTGTCTTTGTGGAGCTGGTTTGGACTGAAGCTCTCGGTTCCCTTAATAACATCCTGACAGTCCCTGTCTCCAGAATCAGCCTCAATGATGTGAGCATGAGCTTTGATGATCACACAAAGTGCAGTAAAGAAGCTGACAGGAATTTGCTGTGTTTAACGGTTCCGGTGTGTTTATTGGCTCTGTGCTGCTGCAGGTGAGCAGGGTGGAGGGATTGTTACTGCAGGCACAAAAGACGGAGAAAGAGGATGAAGTCAAAGCCCTGCTGGAGGAGGTCAACACTCTTCTGCCCCTCAGAATGATCGACCCTCCTTCCAAAGACAAGCTTGTGTCTCAGAAACTAGACCTTTGTCAGGTATCACATGTATCAATTATAGTATAAAATTGTTATAATACTTTAGGAATAGGGTGTATCGATGCATGTCAAGCTGGTAGAAAATCGATAAAAATATGTGACAACTCAAGTTGGTTGAGATGTTAAGCAAATCGTGATACAATTGGGGGTTTATGTGAATATATCTTTGAGGAGAACTGACTGTCTTCAGAAAAAAGATTAGATGGTATTTTCTTTTCATCTTATCTATGTATAATGCATATTGAAATGGTATTTATTAGCACAGCGCTGCTTTGTTTACAGCAGTAACCAAGGAAGCATTCTGTCTCATGCTATAACGTTGCACAAAGATAAAGTCAGACCATTCTGTTTTTGCTTCAAATTTCGAAATTATACAATCTAAATTACACAAACTAATAAACTGCTCATGCAGCATGTATGCAGCATCTTTGTTTGAATCGTGATTAATATACAGTGGTTGCCTCTCATTTTAAATGGAAAGAGGAAAAGTCTTAGTTTGTTTATATGAAAATATTTCTTTTATTTGCATTATTTATTTATTTGATTTGTGATTTGTTTTAAAATTTCTATTTAGTTTTGTTATTTGACATATTTCAATTTCACAAAGAAATGTGCATTTTGTCTGAGAAATAATAAAATAATAAAACTTCATAACAGTTAAGCTCATTTTCTTCATGTTTTTATTATTGGACGGTTTTACTTTTTGTTGTTTTGCAATTCTCATTCTTAAAAATCATTGTCAGTTATAAATAGTTCATTACTAATTAATACATAGATTTTTTTTAATTACTGTAATACAATGATTATACTATTTAAATAAATTAAAATACTGAGTGAAATTTTACATTTGAAGATTTTGGTAGATGAATTTGGCTTTTTAATTCAACAGTGCAGATCTGACCTTTTTACCCTTTTAACTCTTCTGTCGTCTCCAGCTGATCAGAGATATTATAAATGTCAGCGAGGCCACTCTGGGAAGCCCCTCACCCTCGTCTCTGGGAAAGTATCGAGCTCTGAGGTGCAGCATTGAGGTTGTTCCACCACAAAACCCTGAGTTTCATGTTGTCTCTCAACTGCTAAAGGACAGGTAAACATGATTGTGCTGATTGTGGTATGAAGTTCAAACATAAACATATTTCAGAGTGTGTCTTCAAATAATTATGTTAATCTTGTATCGACTACAGGCCTGTTCAGATTCAGCAGATACTGCGTGTCAGCAGAGGGATGGAGCTTCAGTTGTTTAAGGAGGATTTAGGTAACATTAAACCCCTCCTCCACTCCACTAGTTCCAGCAGTTTTGTTGGAATACTGTCACGGTAAGAGCTCATATTTTTTTAAAAACCTTTGTTTACATGCAATGACAAAACAGCACACACACTTACAGTATGTCTGTCACATTCAATATATACTGTGGTGGGGTGAGTGAAGACAGACACACTGCGTGTGGCTGAATCATGTTTCTTCTGGTTGATATTAAAATCTAAATAAATGAAAATTAATGCACCAAGTGAATTAACATTTTTAAACATTCTTTATAGAGGTCTGCTGCTGCCTAGGGTTGGAGTCGAACAGCATGGAATTGAGAGAACGGATATCGGGAATCTTGGAGGAGGAATCTACTTGAGTGACTCTCTGAAGTCAGTGGTTTTTAGCATTACTCAGTCATCTCTTAATATAATGGATTTATTAATAATGTGAATCCACTATCATGACAACTGGAGATTTTAGTCAGTCTGTAAGTTTCTTCTCTGTGTTAAAGGACTAGTGTAAAATACTCCAAGCCCAGTTTGACTGACGGCTCTCGGCTGCTGTTGGTATGTGAAGTGGCTTTGGGTCGGTGTAAGGACCTGCTGAAGAAAGACACCACTTTGACTTGTGCTCCTGACGGCTACCACAGTGTACATGGAGTCCAACGCACTCCCAACAGACTCTCTGAATTTGAGGTGCTTTTCTTGCTCATTTTCTGTGTACTTAAAGGGGTCATATGATGCGATTTCAATTTTTCCTTTCTCTTTGGAGTGTTACAAGCTCTTGGTGCATAAAGAAGATCTGTAAAATTGCAAAGACTAAAGTCTCAAATCCAAAGAGATATTCTTTATAAAAGTTAAGAGTCAACCACACCTACCTAAAACGGCTCGTTCTAACACGCCCCCACATGTCTACGTCACGATGTGGGAAGATTTGCATAACGCTGCCCAAATGTTCACGCAAAGAAAGAAGGCGTAACTTTTATTCTCGTTGTAGTATTGTTGCTGCCGCCATGTCGAGACGCTGTGTGTTTCGTTGTGAAAGCGAAACTACTTTGTTTGGCCTCCCAAAAGAGGACGATATCCGCTTCGTCATGCCTAGAGCTGATCCGTGCTGGTCGCTGAGGAAATACATCAACTTCGCGCTGTGGATCGCCGGATCGGCTTTCACCGTGGACGAAGCGGAGTCCAGCCCGGGGTCGTCAAATGTGGTTGCCGCAAGCCCGCCAGATGCTCTTTCGTCCCGCCGGCCGCGCCGTTCTCAAGCCCGCCTGCCTCCGCTCACTCTAGCCCCTGGCCTCCGCTCACTCAAGCCCCCGGCCTCCGCTCATAATCGACGCATTTCAGAAAGGCGGGGCATAGAGGAGAAACAATAATGTACAGTATGTGGAAAATAATGTGTTTTTTTGTTTATATTTATATTTGACAGGATGATGAGTTTGTCGTCTATAACACAGAGCAGATCAGACTGAAGTATGTGGTGCAGTACAGTCTGGAGGGAGACAAATTAAAAGAGTTCCAGCCTCAAATCAACACTCAGCTCACACAGCTCACGGACACAACACCTGATATCTGTGAGTAACATCTAGTGAACAGGACATGCTGAGAGGGACCAGCTTTTATATGTGGAAGAATCGGTTTTAACTAGGACTGTCAAATTGATTAAAAGTTTTAATCAAATTAATGACATTATGTCAGAGCCCATAACCTTGTGCGCAGCACTCCAAATTGATGACCAAAGTTTGAGTCCCAAAATCCTCTCTTGATTTGAGCTCATGGTGGAACGACATGTTCCTCAGGCTCAGGGTTATCTGATGCTCTGTGACGCTGAATGCTATGATTTGTGTTGTTAAATTCATCAGTGGTTTTGTTTGAATGTGTTTCTTTAGTGTCCAGTGATGACAGTGAGGGTTTGGAGTCCACTAAGAATCCTCTGGAGGAGATGAACGCAGGTTTGTTGGACAGCAGTGGTCAGAAACTTCCTCTACATGCTGTCAATGTGAGGTGTAAGCTGATGGACCTGCTGTGTCAGGTATGATCCTACAGCGGTAGACTGCAGTTTTGTCATTTAAAATTAGTGTTGAGAAATGAGCATGATGTGTTCCGAAGTAAACCAAAAGAACTAAACAATGAACATTCCGGTACTAAACTAAAACTAGAACAAGGCAGTGATGGACACAATCAAGACCAAGGGAACAAAGACATCACAAGAAATAAAAAGCAACAGAATTAACAAAATAAAATATAGACTAAATAAAACTCTGAAATTCCACTGGAATATAATTTCAAACCGCAACATTAATTTCTTCCCCACTTCCACCAGGTCATCATTTTCCAGACCTACACAAACCAGAGTGCTGTTCCCATTGAAGCAAAGTATGTCTTTCCACTGGAGGAGACGGCAGCAGTGTGTGGATTTGAAGCCTTTATCAATGGAAAACATGTCATTGGAAAGGTGCGAGACATTCATAATTTGTCAAATGCAGTCTCTGGTTTTTCAGCCTCTTTCTCAACATTTTTAATGTCTGTTTTGTCCTATAGGTAAAGGAAAAAGAGCAGGCTCGTAAGGAGTACAAGCAAGCCATAGAGAAAGGTCATGGAGCCTACCTGATGGACCAGGATGCACCTGTGAGTTACTGTATCTGATCTGGAGCTCATGTGTGTGTGATAATGTATCAGAAGGTTTCTTTAAGGTCATGTGTTTATGTGAGGCAGGATGTATTTACTATCAGTGTGGGGAATCTTCCTCCTGGAGCCACAGTTTTGATCAAGGTGACGTTCATCACTGAGCTGGTGGTCAGATCAGGCTCTATAGTCTTCTTACTGTCTGGCAGCGTGGCACCATGGCAACAGAGAGCCACCCTTAATCAGACAACTCAGGTACAACATACTTTTGTTACTGTATTTAAAATCCTGTTTGGCCTGCTGATTGTTAGTGTTTTGAATGACAGCTGTGTTACATTTCAGGCCACTGTTGAAAAGATTGGAGTGACGGAGCTTCAGTCAGAGGGGTGAGAATCTCAAATACTGGAGAATTCACAGCGAAATTCACTAAAAATGCATCTGCTGATATGTAAAAATATAAAAGCCAATTATTTCATGTAGCAAACCACATATAACATCATTTAACACTTAACCTTTATAACTTCACACTTTATATACAGTAGCACCTGGTCTAGTTTGGACAATGGGTGGTTACAAGGTTGTTGCATTGTTCTGTTTAGTGTATGATTTTGATAAAAATGTTCAATGTCCTCTAACTCTTTTGTTCCCTATCTCTTTCTTCAGGGAGTTTTCTCTGTCTATGTCCATTGAAATGCCTTATGAGATCATCAACTTGAGCTCTTCACACCGCATCAAAACCAAGGTTATTTTACTTTTGTGCATTATCTTACTAAATACTGTATTTTCTGAAAAAAGAAACATATTCAGATATGAACCATATTAACAGTATTGGTTTTTCCCTGTTCAGAGGACAGACTGTAAGGCAGTGATCAGCACGTTACCGGGACAGACTCTGGGATCTGAAGGATTACAGGTGTCCTTCAGTCTTTCTAATATCCACATGCCCAGGATGTGGGTCGAGAACCATCCGGATAAAGATAGTCAGGTAAAGAAATTATCACTCAAATCTGTTTTCCTGTTTGTCATGGATATTTTGCAGCATATTGCACACAAATATTGACACTTTCCATCTTACGCTCACTGACAAAAATGAACATTGATACGGATCTGATCCCTGCAGGCCTGCATGCTGGTGTTTTATCCAGACTTTAAGTCAAGTGGGGTGTTCAGCTCTGGAGGTCCGTCCAGTGTGAGCGATGTGGTCATTCTTCTGGACTCCTCCAAGTCCATGCAGGGAGATGCCATGCTGAACGCTCGCAGGATTGCCCTTCAAGTCCTCAAATCTCTGGACCGCTCACTGAAGATCAACATCATCTCTTTCAGCACTGGTTAGTGCTCACTGAAACTGTCTGATATTGTCATCTTGTGGACATTTTCATTTCCCTATTATTTTTGTAATACAAAGTGAAGCATTATGGGTAAATGTGTGCGTTTTTACAGATTACAAGGAAGCTTTTCCTGCACCAGTGCCTTTAGATGAGGCATCTGAATCAGCCAGAAAATTTATTATGGTGAGTAATGTTTACAAATGTTTAAAGATGGTTCTGAATCTCAGTTTCTTTGCATATCATTGCATTTCTCCTCTCTTCAGTCATGTGGCGGCTCTGGTGGCAGCACTGATCTGTGGCGGCCTCTCCGGAGCCTGAGTCTGCTGCCTCCCTGCCGGGGAGTGAGGAACATCCTGCTGCTATCTGATGGACATGTTCAGAACCAGCCTCTGACCCTACAGCTGGTCCGAGAAAACTCCTGCCACACACGCCTCTTCACCTGCGGACACAGGTCTGCCTTAAACAAATCTTTTTATTTTTCTCCTTCATTTACACTGAATTTCTGAACGTACAGTTTGATTGTGTTTGTGTTTGTCTAGCTTGACAGCTAATCGTCATATGCTCAGAGCTTTGGCTCAGGCAGGTGGAGGAATATATGAATTTTTTGACACAAAGATGAAACACACTTGGGCAGAAAAGGTGAATCACACACATTATTGTATTGTTTTTAATAACTAAGAAGGAAACATTATCTTTCCAAAATTGGCCAGTCTGAGGCTTGAGTTGAAGAGATTTGTGGATAATTTCAGGTGCGCGCTCAGGTTCAGCGTATGGAGTCTCCAGGCTGCAGATCAGTGGCAGTGAAGTGGCAGCAGTTTAATCCCACAGTGCCGCTTCCTGTTCAAGCCCCCTCACAGCTTCACGCTCTCTTCAGTGACTGTCACACTCTCGTATACGGATTTGTGCCATACTGCACTCAGGTAGACAGGCTTTACTTAAAAGCTACATTGTTACTTATTGTAGTTGTTATTAGGAATGGGTCATATATTGAATATTCACAATAAAAATTAGGCAACATCATGAATGTAGTGGTCATTTTAGTGTTTCTTCAGTGATAGTTAGAGTTTGGTATGTTTTCATTTTTGTGAAACTGTTTCAATTATTTGATTCAAAACTCTGAATCAACATTTGCATAATCACTGAAAAATATTCATGAAGAATGAATGTAGATGTATCATGTATATATTGATACGTTAAAATATTTCAATAAAAATATATGTACTGTAGCTAAATACTGATGGGTTTTTTTACAGATTACTTTTATATTTGTGCCAGTGGCATGCAGTGGTGTTGAGAAATCTTTTATGTAAATTCATGTCCCAGTTCCACTCCCTTGATTGGTGCATATAATAAATGAAAATAATTAAATATCTTTCTTCATATAATTTTTAATTTAATAACCAGCAGTGTGAAAAACATGGCTTAGTTATATTAAACTATTAAGATAACTGTCAACTGTCAAGATTTGTCAAGATTTAAAATAACTATGTAATATTAATCAAGGCTGCAAAATATTAGGATAGATATTTTAGCTGAAATGCCCAGTTATTTGTGTTTATTTATTTAATTGTGTAATATTTACTAATTTAGGCCACACTGTTTGGTGATTTGAGTGGACAAGAGATCAAAACAATGGTGTCCACCACAGAACTACAAAAGACAAAGGGAACTGTGAGTGAACATCTTAAAATACTTCATATAATCTGAAACACCATCAATTGTTTATCAGGCGTTTGAAGAGTTTGTGTGTGTGTGTGTTCATGTGCAGTTCCTTCACAAGTTAACAGCAAGAGCGATCATCAGAGACTATGAAGATGGCATTCTAGCTAACAGTGAGGCAGAACATGAGGTACAATATTTGGCTGCATTATGATATTTTTTATATAACTGGCAGATTTGCTAACAGAAGAACTTGACTTTCCGTCTTTTATCTCTTTATCAGGGGAAGAAAGCAGAGCTAAAGTCCTACATCATTGAGCTCAGTAAAGAGTTCTCCATCTTATCCCAGTTTACAAGCTTTGTCGCCATTGAAGAGAGGGTATGATTGCTGCTAATCTAAGGATCTAAAAATAAATCTGCAAAAATATTTTTTTTATTTATATATATATATATATATATATATTTGTAATGTTTTGTATCTAGTCAGTCATTTCATTATAATAAATAGTTCACACATAAATTAGGTGTTTAATATTGATAATAAAGAAAAAGTAAGCATCTGTACACAGAGATCACTTTTTTTTTCACAAAAAGGCAGAATCAAAGTAATTCTAAGTAAAATATGCCATGAATTAATTTCTGTGTACCATTTTAAACTGAATGACAATTAAAAATACCAACTAATAACCTCATTTTCTCTTTGCAGGAGCAGAATGAGCTTGACACTGGATTCACAGATATTCCAAAAATCATATCAGAGGAGGATGTGGATATTTTGCCATATATGGGCTCGACTGAAGAGAAGCTGAAGTCTGTGCATATTAGTAGTGCTGAAGATGATGATGTATGGGTAACAACAAAAGGGTCTATTAAAGCTGTTATATCATGTAGTGATAAATGTTGACATCATTCAGCTTCTAGTATTCACAACAATGATTTTCATTTCTTTTTTTCAGACGGAATCAGAGGGATGGCGCAGTAGCTCCACATCTGAAGATCTCCTGGGTTCTGCTTGTGTAGCAGCTGATTTTGATGATGATTTAGAGGATGAATATGAAAATAAGTTTAGAAAAAAAACATCTGCAGCTCGCTCTTCTCCTCCTCCTAGCTCCAGTAGCTCCTGGCATCCTTCACGTTTTGAAGGTAGCACTAATGCTTTCAGAGGCTATCTGAAAAAATTGTCTGCTCCCAGGCCTGAAGCAGCTCGTCGATATGAAATACCAGTGGAAGTTCTCTGCAAGGCTAGCAGGCTTCCTCCTCCTCCTAATTGTGGTGCCTCCATGAGTGACAGGCTTCCCCCTCCAGCTGCCTCCCAGGTTACCGCCTGTATGCCTCCTCCTCCTGCTCATCCTCCTCCTCCTCCTCCTCATCCACGTGGTGGTGCCTCCATGAGTGACAGGCTTCCCCCTCCATCTGCCTCCCAGGTTACCACCTGTATGCCTCCTCCTCCCTCGGTGGAATCTCTCTCCAATATTCGCCGGATTTTACCTCCTTCTGCTGATGCCATGATGTCTAGAACTGGCCTCTTGATCAAAAGGCGTCCCGCTCCCCCTCCCCCCCCGCTTTCCTCATATGAGCCTCCTTCCTCTGATCTTCTTAGTTTTGAATCAGTTGATTTCATAGAAGACGGCCTTGATTCCCTTACAAAAATGTCTCCAATATTTTGCCCCACGAGTCCAATTGTTTCCTCTGCCACAGAGTTTGCCACTGAGCTTTATGCTTCAACTCCTCCTGTCTGTGCAGATCCTCCTCATCCTCCTCGTCTTGCATCTCAGCAGTTCATGTCCATGACTCCAAGCCCCGCTCCCCCTCCTGCTATTTCTCGCAGGGTGGGCGCATCTTTTTGCGGGAGGAGCAGGGCTGGTGGCTCCATTGCCTTTGCTCCACCTGCAGTGTCTGCACCACCCTCTCCCGCTGCGTCTGGTGGCTTTGGTGGTTCCTTCAGAAGTAAGAATAAGCGTTTTGGTTTTGGTTCCTCAGCCCCTGGAGCACAGCGAAAGGAACGGAAACAACTACTCATCCAAAAAGTGGAAAAACCAATAAGCAGACGAGACAAAGTGGCCTGGAATGAGCTGTTTGAGCTTCAGCATGAGGTGTTTACACATGATTTAATTCACTAGATTTTATACAGTATGTAAATGTGTGAGGGAATATGAACATATGCGATATATTTTGATATAGGATGGATACTGGGAGTGCACTGACAGGCTGAGCAGCTTCCTTAACCTGGACGTAGACTTTTTTGCAAATGTCTTCCTTCAAGAGAAAGGCATCTGTTCCTTAGGTAACAGGATTTTTTACATGCCTGTTGTTGGTCTTGTCCATATTGCAGCTTATTCTCAGCAAGAACTGCCCATTTAGACAGGACGAGCCATCTGATTGGCACATAAAGCAACCAATCACAGTTTGTTCATGTGCCATTTAGACAGACTGAGAAAAACACAGGTGTGTCTTTACTGTGTAACACCAGCCAATCATAGTAGATCTTGCCAGAATGAGAAAGTGCTTTCCAGTTTAAAGTGCAATATGCATCAGGCTAAATCTGAATATAGCTTAAAATAATCTGATCTTTATTTTTCAGACAGTTTGTGAGTCAGAATCAGTTAATCAGTCACATGTTTTGTGTGTCAGGTGTGAAGGCTCATGCTGAAATTCTGAGGCTGATGGCGACTCTGCTGGTGCTGCAGCTGATCCGGGTGAAGAAGCTGGAAGTGGGACAGCTGCTCGAGTCTCTCCTCCGACTAAAAGAGTCCCAGGAGCCCAGGTACCAGCACACGTCCTCATGCGGTGTAATGATTGACTCTTGTGTTTTTGTATCCATGACTATCTGCTCTTCTCCATTCAGACCGATGTACTGGGAGGCAGTGAAGAGGGCCGTGGACTGGGCCTGCCGGACAGACAGACAGTATCCGTGTGTGTGCAGCAGGCTGGAGATCGGCCGGGATTGGGAATCATCTACACGTCAACTACTGGGCTGTGATTCTCCACACCCATATTCCCCACTCAAACCTGTTCTAGAGAGACGTATGGACATATTTGTCACGTAGAAACTTTTTGCTAGCCTTTTTCTCCCAAGACTAGATCAATGACTTGTAATCAAATGTCGCTGTGATTTTTAGTGAATGTATGAACTAATTTCTTCTCAAGTTCACACAGATTTCCTAGCAGAGCAACAAACAGCCGTAGTTCATCACATTAACTATGATTATGATGCAGTATGTTGTTTTATCATTTAAAACATAAAATTACATTTGTGAAATGATTTGTTGTGTGTATGTGCTGTCTGTTTTAAAATAAATTAAATTCAAATAAACATTAGCATCTCAAGGAAAAACAGTCACAGTCTTTTGTGTAATCATACACACACACACACTGGTGCTTCAAACTAGATATGTTGATACACTTTCTTTTGAAAAACAAATCTTAAATCATGGGATGATTATTAGAAGAATCAATATACTGTATCTATTCTATGTACCATAAATTAACACAGCAACAGCCACATGTGAACGCAATATTTATTAACAGCTTGTGTCACAAACATGACACATCATCACATATTAACATAACGCTCGTGTTCCTAGTTCATGTGAACAATGAGGGAGAGCCCGTTCTTAAAGAGTCTAAGCCCAGCATGAATATGAGACTGCAATTACAGTCAGCTAATTGTTTCAATTTAAGATTAAAGTTAAAATAAAAAGTAAAATCATATAAATTAGATTTTTTTTTTACATTTTCATTTACTGATAGCTGGAACAACTTGTAACAACGTAAATGGCATGAAAATTTAATCAGAATAAACTCAAGTTAGTAATGCAGTGTGAAACTGACATTGTTACAGTGTGAATTACAGTGATAACACAATATGAGCACATCTCTGCATTCTTACCGAACCTTAAAAGACGGAAATAACAGTGGAGACTTGTGTATTGTGGAAGAACCACTCTTTATTCAAAAATATTTTTTATATTATTTTCAATTGTTTGTTTTATTTCTATAATATGATAATGTATATGGGGCTGTGGTGGACTGGGATCACGGCTGTAGACTGGAGCTGGTCCTGTACTGCGATGATGAGGCTCTTAGTCTGTGGATCATTGTGGTCATTAAAATAACCAGATCATAAAAGTCATTTGCTTGTGAATCAGACACTGCTCGTGCTGTATATGTTATTATGTTACTGTGAGTTATTTAAGTTATTGTGCTTTAACGTCATTAAGTGAGGGATTCATCAGACAATTTTTTTTGTTTTGTTTTTTTATATATAATTCATTAAAATAACCAAATCATAAGAGCCATTTGCATGTGATTCGGACTATGCTGATTGATCTGTATGTTTTTAAATCACTATAAAGTAGTAGAGTCATAAGAGTCATTTGCTTGTGAATCTGGTAGTTGTGAATTAAGTAGTTGATTAAGGATTTATCGAACTGTTTTAAACTGGGAACTCCTGGTTCAAGAGTTTTTCTTTTGAATGATTTAATAACTGGATCTACTTTGCTCAAGAATGAAACTATGACTACGGCAAGAATAAAGATGCGTTTTCTTGCCATTACTCATAGTAGTCTTTTAGCTCAGTACATTTTAGACTGCGTTCACAACACACATTAAATATGATTTATTTTGCTGTGTTACTGTAGATTGGAATAAGTATCGTCGGTTATGAGGAGGGCATTGGCCTTAACAGAGGCACCTCAAAGACACTAATAGTGACAGAAACCTCAAGGTTGTATTACAGTGCCTTAGAACCCCCAGTGAGCAAGCCAAAGGTGACAGTGGCAAGGAAAAACTCCTTACAAAAAATGTAGGAAGAAACCTTGGGAAGAACCAAGACTCAGCTGGGGGGACCTATCCTCCCCTGGCAGGCACATATATAAAAATACTGCCTCTTTGATTTATTATATTTATGGCTAGATCATAATTAACAAAATAACCGCCCAATTTTAAAATGGCTATTGAGACCACTTGTAGGACTGCACGATAAATCGAAATGAAATCAAAATCGTGATTAGACAGAAGCTGCGATTGTCATGCGTATCTTTCAGTGAAGCACGGTTCTGTGATCAGTAGTAAATCTCCATCCGAAGGCCAGAGGGCGCTCGCGCGCAGAAAGTCCAAATACGCCAGTGTTGCCAAGTCCGCGGTTTTCCCGTGGGCTACTTTAACACTGTTGCCACGGGTTGTTTTTCATGTCAGCGGGTTTAAGCGACCCCAATAACCGTGATGTTCAGCCCCTAAAATGGCAATTTTACCAGGGGAACCCCACCAAAAACCTGTATTTTACCTCACTGGGATGCGATTTTTACCGGGGGATCCCCCTCGAAACGTGATTGGGCTAGTTTTGAGTAGCAATTGGGCGGGTTTTGTTGTGAAGACCTGGCAACCCTGTAAATACGCCTAGTAGAAGAAACCCAGGAAATCCCCTATAGCGGTAGCTGTATAAACAGAAGATTTAACTGCTTTTATTGATTCAACGTGATAAATAAACACACGACTACGGCAATATATGGTTTATCTGAGTTCTTATTATTATAATTTTCATTATAATAAATTATATTTATAATGCAATGTCTTTACTGCTTAGAATACTATGAAATGTTGTGTGCCTTATTCTGTGTAAGAAGCCACATCATCTCACAGAAGGATTTATTTCAAACACTCGACTGGCGTTATGAAGTGAGTTTGGAGTAAAAACATGTTATTAAATGTGTATTTTCATGTGCTTTCAGATGGAGCAACATTTACTACACAGAGCCATAGTCACTGAGAAGCTACGCAAACAGCTGTCATTATCGC